TTGTTACAAAGAAGGAGCACCTAGAATCATATATAAAATAATCACTTCCAAGATATTGAGCAGTGTCTGCCTATCTTTTCCAGTTTTTTTTTTTTTTTTTTTTTTTTTTTGGTCTTTTCGAGACAATGTCTCCCTGTAGCCCCAGCTGGCCTGGAACTCACTATGTAGACCAGGCTGGCCTTGAACGCACAGAGAGCTGCCTGCCTCTGCCTCCCAAGTACTGGGATTAAAGGTGTGCGTTACCACCCTGGCTCTTTTTCAGTTTTATAAATATACTCTGTACAGATTCATGATGTTTAAAAATATGTTTAGGTCATGTTTTTCTTCTTATAATCACCTTTTTTCTGTGACTTTTTTTAATGGAACTTCATAGCTACATAGTTTTCATTTGACTTTAATAGAGATAAGCAAACTTCTAAGGAATGGTGGAAAATTGAAAAGACATGGTAAGGGTGAGAGGAGCTGAGGAACTCAAGATGCCACTTTGTATGGCCAGAGGCTAAAAGGCTGGAAACCCTGAGCTGGAGGCTTGACTCCATTCTGGCTCCAACTTGTGACTTGTATAGGACCTCACTTCTCATTTGATCTAAAGCTGTTTAGTTTGACAGCTTGTAGAAATTCTGGGTTCTACAGGAAGTGAGATCTTTCCATATTTCTTTAATACTTCAGACCTGTGTGAGTACATCTGACTCTTCCTTTTCCTGGCAGCTCGAGCCAGCTTTGGGACAGAAGAAGGGTCAGGGTTGTAAAGAACAGGAAAGGGAGCCTAGGCCTGGGTTTGGGTCCAAAATCAGTTGCTGAGTGGTCAAAGAATTGGGCGAGGGAAGATTTCATTCTTAAGGTAGTTGCTAACTCAGAGCAATTTTGACTGGAATTAGTCTGACATATAATTTCCTTATGTTGGACAAAACCCAGCAAGTTGAGAAAATAATATAGTGCCAGATGCTAGTAGATACTGTTTTCCTTTGAGATATCTGTTCATAGAATTAAACATTGGAATGTCCTGTTGCCTGATCCCATTTTAAGAGTTTTTTTCTCATCCCTTTTCTTAGCTAACATTTGCTACAAAATAGGTAAAAACCAGCACAGGTAGTGGAAATAAAACTTGTAATCTTAGAAAAAAAATGAAAAATCCATTCTTTCTGGGTTATTTTTAATGTTCAAAAATGATTTTTATGTTATATTCATTTTACCAGAATAAGTTTAAACCAGTTCTTTTTTGTTTGTTTGTTTGGACAGTCTTCCTGTGTATCCACAGCTAGACTGTAACTTACAGAGATCTGCCTACCTCTGCCTCCCAAATGCTGGGATTAAAGGCATGTATGCTACCTTTACAAAATATCCAGTAACTTTTTTAAATACAATTTTAAAATAAATGGTAAAACCCTGAAAGTGAAATTAGTTTCTTTACTACTGAATTGTATTTCTTATATTATTTATAGTTAATCAAGATTGTCTATAAGCTTATTAAAGTGGCATAGAAATGATTGGTTGGACAGAAATTTTATAGAAATTTTTGATAATTAACTCTAAATGACTACTTGCTAAATTTAGACTAGCAACACAGAATTTAGTTGCTGTTTTGCATGAAATACACAAAAGAGCTAGTTTGATTGACCTACATAAAATAACTAAATAACATCATTTCTTGCAATGTGTCCTAGCAGAATCTTTGCCTGTTGATCAAGAATATGTTGGTCCTTGAGCCGGGCATGGTGGCACATGTCTTTAGTCCCAGCACTCAGGAGGCAGAGGCAGATAGAGCTCTGTGAGTTCAAGGCCAGCCTAGTCTACATAGTGAGCTCCAGGCCAGCTGAGGCTAAACAGGGAGACCCTGTCTCAAAAAGACAAAAAA